GAGGGACGGACAGCTTGGATGCTCTCTGTGCCAGTAGAAATGTCACAACCTCTCTCTTTTTACATCCAACATGAATCCTAGGCTGGACTGTGATGCATCGTCTGTGGATTAAGAATTTTATGGACTTGCTGTGGTTTTTTTTTTTCCTTCCCCCTCATTGATCCTGAAGTAAAGTGACAACAGTGCCAATATAGCTATGTTCAATTATTTAAATAAGACATGATTAATAACCACCACGCTCTGCATTCTGCGCTTCCAAACTGAAAAGAAGGATGTAAAGAGTTTGGTGGATGCATCAGATCCGTCACTGAGATGTATCACCGACAGAATGTGTTCCAAACATAGAAATAGCCAAAAATCTATTTATGATAGAGCTGTTTTTCATGAGTCTACAAAAGAAGAAGAAGATGAGTGTGTCTGATTATGGCGTTAAGATTGGTCATGGAGTACATAAAAGTTTGTTTATGACCTCCAAGACAATCCTGTGTCAGGCAGTGCTTACAGCCGACGGAGGACTTGGAGATGCCCACTTCATGCGATTTGTGGCTTTTATACGCGGCTCAGCTTCGGGCTTATCAGCCGACGCCATGCTGTGTGGATGCATTTGGCTTCGCTGACTGTAGTGCCTGAAGTGAACTGCTTTGATTGTTTTTTGAGATTTTTGGGGTTGTTTAAACCAACAAAACAGCTCTATCATATTTGGCTACTGACAAAAGAAAGAAGACAAAAACCAGACAGAATAAAGAACATTCCCACAGTTTCCCTCCTGGAGAAACTCTGCAGATACTTTACTTGAGGACATTTCCGGGGGTTTTGGACATTGCAACCAAAATAGCGACATGAAAACATTTAAAACGAGTGAAAAAGGCAAAGATAAGACAAATATAAATGGATAGAGATAAGGCTGGAGCCAAATGCCATGTACATATGGACACCGGCTATCGTAACTGTCACAAATGTTGTGAATTAGCTCCAAATGGCAAAGGAGTCACTGAGTCAGTCACTAGCAGTGCCATTTTGGTGGGATCGCAGCTGGATGTAAAACACACGTTTTGAACAGAATCACTCTGCAACACTTGGTAATGTAAATGCAGTGGTAGCAGTTGTTCATGGACAGCTAAAAAGGCAACTTTTACAATTGCAAAACTTGATCCAGTAATCATAGTAATTACCTCTTTTAGCGGTAGCAGTAGTTTTTACATTGCTCTTTTTCCTTTCAGTGACCCTCATTCCCCAAAATTGAACAAAAAACAAAAATCAATGGAGTCTGGTCACTGCTGAAGTTTAGCTGTGCAATCAAATAGCTGAGTGGCTGCAACATCTGACTATGATTGTCTTCATGGGTCTAAATCTGCTCATACAATACACTGGCTGCAGAGATGAATGGAGAGAAAAGCAACTTGTGTTCGTCTTATCTAAAGTCAGTCGATGTGTTTGCAGACGAGGAGACTGTGGCAGCTCCCATGCTGACACCTACACGGTGAGTCTTGTGAGGCCGGGCGTCCAGATGTCAGCGTGGGTCCCCATCTCAGCACTCGTCTTCTGCTTCTCTGATGGGTGGGATCAAGCTGCTTGTGGATTTATACTGACTGACTTGGTTGACGGCGAGCGTATTGACGGGCTTGATCTGTATGGTCCTCAGGTGGGTATTCTCTGGCTCATCTGTAAACCATGTCTTTTCTGAGAAAGAGCCAAAAAAATCATATAGAGACAAAGAGGAGGGACATGAGACAGTTAATGCTACATGGAGGTCAATTGGGGTGTTTGAGTTTGCAGTGCACACAGAACATTAGGAGGACATTGTGTACGTTAAGTTATTTGGATGGTGTTGAATTCTGACGTGATATAAATAAGCTCCAAAGGTTTTAATGGCAGGTAAATATCACTCAGTGTCTCATCGTCACCTCGATAACGTCACTCATCTCATGGCCAGAAAGGATTCTTTCACATCATGTGTGTCATAATGAAGCATGCTGGTTGTTGGGTCAGCGGACATGCAAGTCACCAAGAAAACAAAACCTCTTCTCATACTTCACTAAATTAGAAGTTAATATGTTTTTAATTTCACAACTCATAAACACACAGACGGTGTTTTAAATCTACTGGAGGGGCTTCAGGCTTTTGGCTTGATGCAACTTTCTTTTCATAAAGAAAGAAATGGATAGTGTGGCGTTATATATTGCTGGTGATTCATCCACTTGGCAATGTCCACGGTCATGCATTCTCATCAACATGACTTACGGCTGTGCTGCTACAGTACATGAACACATATGCCAGTAGATCCACGTTGCCAATGAGGAAACATCAGACGTGACGTGATAGAGAGTAAAGTGAAGTAGCATCAAACCACTCGGTTGCAGTCACACATTCTACAGTCAGACCTACTGCGAGATGTTCTGCGTAGGTCATAACCATGCAGTCCTGATGCAGTCATTTGGAAACACCAAACTACTCGACTTTCATTCAGAGGGCAAAGTGTCAGCTGGGACATGACCGTGTTCAATGCATTATTTAACATCATGCATAATCATTCACGTCCATACCTTGGCCCACTCTATTCATCCTTGTTGCACTTTGGAAAAAGAAAGTAGTACACTAGATGTAAGCTAAATGGGAAAACGACCATTAATAACAGAAACTACACAGCATGATGATCTGAGGCAGAGAAACAGCAGATGGTCTCAGTACATGTGGATGTTGAACAGGTTAAACTCAATCAACAAAACAACAACAACAACATGGATCATGTCAGAACATTTCTGAGTGCCGTTATTATGCATCCAGCCACATGAGCATGTGTCAAGCAGCCGTACGGTGTCCATGCCTGTTGGTGAAGCAGCTGGAGGGATGAAGTCTATGTTTCAGATGGAAGTCAACCCAATGAGCAGCATGCAGCTAACAGGTTATAGCATGTGCTTCTATTAAAAAAAGAAAAGAGGGCTTTTTATATAGAGTTGTGTCAAATGTGCAATGTAGATGAACTTTATTTTTTTTTATTGTAAATGAGCGTAGATTACTAACCAGAGAGCGCTTGTGGTGTTCAATCAGCAGCTGTGATTTGTGAGCTTTTTTTTTTAAATAATCAAAGAATATTTAAATGTGAATAATAACATTATTTTAAAAAGCAGTAATCGGTTCCATACCTCTGGTGGTTCTGTAAGGTCCTTTGAATATGTGAATAACAGTAAATGTGCAGATATTTGTAATGAAAACACACCCAGTGACAGACAGCAACGCCTTTGAACTGACAGCAGCAGTAACTGTTAACGTAGAGCCTGTCTGGGAGGACTACGGGTCGGTCCCGATACCCGCTCATGCAGTGCTAGCAAACTAGGTTCCTACTTGGTTGGAGGATATGAAGTAATTGGCACCAGGCCCAAGTGTTCGTTAAATACAAACATTTAAAGGTTTATCAGTGGTCAGTGTGTCAGGCTTGATTATTTATTTTCTATAAACACTACCAGACAGTTTACAATCAGCTGACAGTAAAAGCAGTTAAACAATGAATGAAGATATTCAGTGAGGTTGTCTATAAGCATTGAAGTGCTCTGCATGTTAAATATTGAATAGTCTGATGAAGTACATGCTGTATTTCTCAAAGTCTTTGATCAAATCGTAATATTTATGTTAATCTAATTATAAACATATGGAAGATCTGCACCACCACCAACCACTGGACCAGCGTGGTGCAGCAGACCACAGTGGGTCTGAACACTACTATGAAGCTGTATGAGGGTAAACAGTAATCCAGGAGCAGGTGTAGTGCATGTTGGTGTTTTATCGACTCCTCTAACACCTGGTGCTGCATAAACGTGTATTTAAGTGCTTGAAACTGCAACTGCGGGTTTCAGAACAGACCCTCTGTCTTCTTCTACAATTTAATGATTCGTTCCATTTAAATGTGTCGTCGTGTTCAGCAGCCACAGTTAGGATGGCGTGCTCACGGATCGGGCTTTGGTTCTGTACTGTTCTAGAGCTTCCTGGGTGAGAGGCGCCGGGTGCATGTGCTGAGAAACCTCCGGCTGACCATTAAAGAGAGAGAGAGTTAATATTTAGCTAGTTAGCCGTGGGCCAGATCCACCATCCACTGAAGTTTAAACTCCATCTTTAGAGGGCGGAGCTTTCCCTGGAAATGAAGGTGTTGCCTCTGTTTGACTGCACTCTGCAGATGGACTCTGTTCTTAGACTTGTGATGTCTCCGGTTCTGGTTGTCTGTGGTACCGCACCTCGGACCACAGAATGATTCAAGTGGTTTTATCCAATCAGCTGCTGCGTGTCTCAGATACTTGCAGAGCTGTTGATTGGTCACCAACGCTGTAGGTGAGGTGCAGGTGACAGAGGAGGAGGCCAGACACACCTGGTTAACCAAAACGCTAAAAGTCAAGTGACTGACTAAAGTTTGTTTTTCCAAAGTTTAACTGGAAACTGATCCCTACACCCAGTGGACAGGTGAAGGTCACGTCCACAGCCTCACCTGCAGAAATGTCTCTCCTCAGCTGTGGCCAGAATGACGCCGTTGGCAACTAGAGAGACCACAGGTGTAGCAAACTGAAGGAGGCTTTTCAGGTTTGGTTGAATCGACAGAAAGACAGTGAGAGGCCACAACAAACTGGCTATAAGGCGTTTGGTCCATATATAACTGGAGTGAGTATAATGTGTTCTGTGCTCGTCTCTGCCAAAGATGTGGCAGCAACTCAGTTAAAAAAAAAAAAACAGAGACTCTATACATGCAGCCAAAGAGGGCAGACTGTCAGATCTGGTGACTGCAGGCGTAGCTCGCCACCTTTTGCTGATGATGTAGTTCTGTCTGCTCCATTGAACCGTGACGCTCAGCATGCAGAAGGCCAGTTTGCAGGACATTGTAAAAATGTATATCCAGTCTCTGATACCAGTCTAATTACTGGTAATCTAATAAGTGGTAATAACACGGTAATAATCATTTACTAAACACATGTAGAATACAACTGAACTGTACCATTCACATGTGAAGACAAAGTATGTTATAATTTGGGTGCAAAGTTTATTAATGACTGCAACAGGTCCTACTTGCAAAATATTCTGACATAATTAATACTCGATGGTGTCAAATAACATGTAAATAAAGTATACCATCTAATGGACATCAAAAGGCATTAAGAGGACACGATGTGCAATCTTTTTATGAACATGACACAGTGTGAACCTTTAAACACGTCATTTCAAAGTGCAGTTCAGGTTCAATAAGGTTTCATGTAAAATGAGACAAATGCAAGTTTCAGCAGAGCAGAACTGGAATGCTGTGACGTAAAGAGACCGGCGAGCTTCACGACAGAGGGGGCGCTATTAACACAAGTCAAGTTCTTTCTCTGTGGGGTCCTACTTTGCTGTGTTGTATAATGTGTTAGCCAATATCACACATCTAAACCAACACTGTGTTTGCTTCCCAGGCCGATCCTCCACATGTCTGACCCGTCTCACACTGTAAGGAGCCTGTGTGTACAGGTAAGGACACTGTAGTGAAACAAACACGACTGTTTGAGTGACAATGATGGAGAAAAAAAATTCTAGGATCAAAATTGAAATGAATCATTATTTAAAATATACTCAGTGAAACTTGGACTAAACCAGGGTCAGCAGTTAAAGGTAGAGTAAGCCATTCTAATCAAACCTCTAACGATCTGCCAGGGATCCATTCAGTGTGTGCAATAAAAAAACATCTGGGAGAAGAAAAGAGACACGATGCTATTCCAGCCAACCAGCAACAGGAGGCGCTCATGCTTGTGCACAGACATAGAATATGCTCACAGAACAACCCTGTGAATCCCAAGTGGACAGGAGAGGTGTTATACTCTGAAGTGAGAAGGTCTGTTAGGTCTTAAGCCGGAGATTTCAGATTTCCATTAACCTGGCTGGATCACTATGGTAACTAATGCTACACAGCTAACCTGCTACAGAGGAGACGACGGTTAGGGTTTCGAAGGCGAGCCAACTGGCTTAGGGTTAGCAATACAGATCGTCAGTGGAAGTGTTGTATGTGCAGACCTACTGAGCTGCACCGTAGCTGTCGCGTCGCCGTCAGATCCTCCATGCATTCAGTCGATGATGCAGAAAATGCATAAATATGTTTATATGCTTGGTCCTACTTTGCCAGCAAGGCTCGTTTCCTGCATTTGTCTCCTGCCTTATCTGCAGTAACAGAACTATTTGCTGTAATAACTTTCTAATATTCCACATAGCTCTCCATTATAACGACTCATTCCTCTTGATTGATGTGGGCGGCACCCGATCGGTCCATGTTGTGTCGAGGAAGAGTCAAATGATGCATCACACGCCTCCTTTTATGGGTTAGAGCCTGATGGAGAAGACCTTGGTTAACACAGACAGCTGGTAAACCATCATCCTCTTCTATGCCTACAGGACTGAGATGTTTCTCTTCTGGTCCACTAGCCTAGATGTTGTTGTCAGTGAACTTGGGTGCCGAGGCGTCTGAAGGTGGATCTGTTTGGCTGTTGAGTTCAGATATCAACAAAACTTTGTGAGGAATGGCTTACTCCACCTTTAATTGGTCCAGATCTATCTGTAGACGTTTTCATCTACACGTGCACTCGACTCACTCAGGATGTCGTTTGAACTGCAGAGCAGGACTTCTGGATCCGACATTCATAATCAAAAAATAAACGTGACATCATGACAAAAATGGCTTTTAAAAAAAATAGGAATTTCGCAACACTCAAGAATGATAGAATTATCCACAACCTTGGTAAAAGATTACCGTCGTTCTTGGCATCAAAACGTACAAGAATGGAAAAAAAACAGACAGAAACGAAGTGAAGCTCAGTCCGTGGGGCTCCTGGTGGTTTCCCACTGTGACCTGTGCTGTGTGCCCTGTTAGAGGGGAAACCACTCCGGACTGCACTGTGTTGCTAAATGCAAAATAAGACATACAAGTGACACGTAGACATCCAGGACGAACATACACACATCGACAAGCAGACGTGTTACAGCCTGTCCGGACACACAGGACAACACTGGTGGCAGGCACTGTTCACGGACATAGACAGTCAGAGAGCTTTAGAGGGGCACATACTTTTGTTTGTCTCTCGAGTCCCTGCTTTTCGTGCGGTTGGCGCGGTTGGCGGTTGGGATAGAGTGGACGGAGGAGCTCTTTTTGCTCGACGAATGGGACGAATGGGAGGAGTGGGAGAGGCTGGTCCGAGACTGGCCGGCGTTGTGGTCGAACTGCATCAGGCAGAATATCAGGTCCGAGGGCACCAGCTCGAATGCATACGGTGGATTGGTTATGACGTACCTGCAGGGAAGAGGGACCAGATGGGAGGTAGAAGTAACTCCAGACAGTTTTTTTTTTTTTGTAGATTCCAGTTTGGAGCGTCTGAATGAAAGGACTCACCGTTTGGTACACTGGCTTTGTGTGTTGAGATGTGCGTCTCGTAACCGATAGATGCCAAAACACAGCATGTTGTATGTTTTCAGGGCTTTACAAAACAGGTCTCCATAGCAACCACCGTCCTGTAAGACAGCAACAAAAACACAGAGCAGGACATCATTGGTATTTTGTTAGAAGCAGCGCTAGACTATGATGGTAAAACAAGGTGACTACAGTTTGGGACCTGTGCTGCACGTCATAGTCCTGCTTTTTCCTTGTAACCCGTCTGCCTGTACCGACCTACAACATCAAAAATGAGTCCTTATCTGATCCAGATGGTGATTAACGTAGATGACCCTATAAGTAACTATAAAGACTTTGAGGTTTTTACTCACAAATCTGTGGAAACCAATCAGAGGCTTTGACAACACTGATCATGAAGGAAACACTGGACACCAGGAAGCTATCGCCGTTTATTATCTGTGTCGTACCATCTAGTTTCATTTAACTTTCCTCTCTGCGTACAAACTGCTTCACAAGTTGAGCAGCTATGAGGGAAGAGCTGCTGGTTGGTGGAATAAACTGTGTTCGCTTCGTTTTCAATTACTGACCTAACAAGCTCCAGTAAGAGGACTGGCAAGCCTGGACAGCCTTTTCCCCTTTTAAAGAACGCTTTATTAAAAGAAATTATGTATAATCCGAACAACAACTGCCAGGGGAGAATGAAGAGCTCAGTCCAGAGGAGATGGGAGAGGAGCTCAGAGTGAGTGGAGCTGGCATGTCCGGGCCTGCTAGCATTTAGCTGTAAGCGTGCCCGTTACAGTAGCTAGCCAAGTAGCCATATGAGGAGACGTTTGATCGCCAAGTCTCTAATGGCGCCAAATTTGTGAAGATGCATCAGATAAATGTTGCTGTGCCACTTTCTGGCATGACTGGGCCTTATTATCTTTGCTCTACAAAGACATGGTTGTATTTTGTGCTTTGCTTATTACCAGCGTGGTCGCTATAGAGATGTTTGCTGAGCAGGAATCAGCTCACAATAGTTCTGATATGTGCTTAGATGGACGTGTCAAAGTGTGCCGCACAATGTAAATGATAAAAAAATGCATTTTATTCCTATAAGGTGATATTGGGGGGAAAAAAAGCATTTTCCTGACTTATTTCCTTTTTAAATGGGGTAACATTGTGTTATACAGACTGCAGTCTTTCCATAAACTCCATCTGATGTCTTGTAGTGTATAAAGATGAGTGAATGTGATTCCTGTTGCTCATCTGCCATCTCTGTTCGTCTGAACCTTTCACTAAAGGCAGCTTCTGCAACACAAGCAGCCCAAGATGGCCTCAGTCCCTGGGTGACAAGACCACGTACTTACCCCAAGGTCGGCGAAGGGCCCGTCGTACAAGGCCAGCTGTGCCACGCGACACCTGTCCCTGTTCGCCAGGGTCTGTGGCGTGCTGTAGCCGCCTCGTAATGCATTCTCCTCCGCCAGCAGCCCCTCCAGCTCCGGTGTCGCCCCGCCTGTTACCAGCGTCCGGATCAAGGTGAGGATATTGTCATTGAAGTATGTCTGAAGGGATGAAGTTAGAGGGGGATGAATCCTTAAGCAAACGCCACCAAAGTCACAACTGAAGCTTCTCAACGTGTCGGCCGGGCTGAGCGGTGCTATCTAAGCCCGCTCTGTCGCGTCACATCGCTCTGCACAGCGAGTGAACAGACAGGAGGATCCAGCTACTGCAGGTTACTTTCACCCCCGTCAGAGCAACAGACCCGGGAATCCATGCCCACGCTGTCCAGGCATTTATTCAGATAAATATGACAATCAGCTTTAAAAACCACACATTAAACCTGAAGATGCACTTCTCTCAGCGTTATCTTTCTAATTCCTTCCAGCGACTGCTCTGCTGATATAACAAGGGCAAATATCTGCCCTCTTCTTTGCACTGCAGTCTCTTGTCTCCCCCTGCTTGTACAGCACAGTGACATCTCCCTTGGCTGCTGACAGCACTATTGACTAAGATGATGGATGAGGGCTGTCCATTAGGTAGCATTACCTTTGTCTACACTGGAGCACACTTGAAGGCAGCTTTGTTCTAACCTCACTCAGACTGAAAGGCAGACAAATGAAGCCATCATACCTCGTACAAGTTCCAGTCTTGTCATTTATTGTTTTAACGGGAGCAGAGAGTGCCTGCCTGCTTTTTTTTTCTTTGCCGTGCACTGGAGGTATTCAGTGGTCTCTCCTGATATCACAACATACGGTTTCTTTGCCTTTTTCAGATCACTGACAGATCTTATGTCACCGCACGAAAAAAAAACTTCATCATATCTACAGATGTGTCGCTGAATTGATCCCGACTTACTGCACTCATTAAGGAATCCAGCACGCTGACTGCGAACGCCGTCCCACAGGCGAAGGGCTGAGTGAGGTACAGCTCCGTATCCGGGTCGTCGTCATCGTCTTGGTCCAGAAACTGAACGTTTGAGTCATTCACTATGGGGAAGGGGGGGCAACAATGTACAGTTCATTAGTTGTTAAGTTCTGCTTGGTTCTGCACATACCAGAACCAGACCTCATGGAATAGTTTCTGATTTGCACAAGCATGGCTCAGGCAAACACCTCATTCAGGTGAAGTGAAGAGGAGGACACAGAAGCTCAGTGGTTGTGCACAACAGTCAGTAGCTGCAGATATGGACTGTATCAGAAATCTGTGTGTAGCTCGACACGTTCTCCTTAATTGGTCAGTTTCAAATTTGGACATGATTATAGTTTCTTTTAGGGAGCTGATGAACTGGTATTTGTATTCAGCCACATTCCATATCCAGGCCATTCATGCACACTCATGACACCATGCATATTGTCAAAGTTCCAGGCCTCGCTTTAAAGTCCTCCTGAGGTCAATATCAGTAACACCAATATGCCATTGTTTGTCTTGTAAATCCAAGACAGAGCTTCCAATTACTTGTACTTGCATGTCAAGTCAAATGAAAGTATCTCATCGCCCCAGAACCTTCTGTGAAGATGTCTTTGAGCACAAAAACACATGCGGTAGCTGGAAGAAAGTAATGATGTAAAATTTAGTTGGAGAACTGCTACTTCTGTGAGGACAGAAATAAACGTCAGTCATATCGACAGCGCGGAGATGAAAGAAGGGTACGGGCCAGAGAATGTGATCCGACAGAAGATGCTATGAAAACAGCCACAAGGACTTCTGAGGGATCAAAGGCCCTGTAATTCTTAGAAAAATAAAAGGGAGAAATTTTGCTTTGAGATAAGGGGTAAAAACAAGACAGGCAATTTCAACCAGAACCAAGGGTAAAATGTGCTCAAAGTGATGCCATGGGAATGGACTGAGCCTCTTGTGCAGCAAGAGAAATCAAAAGAAAGCTGATATGGAGGCAGCAGCAGTTACAACACTGCAGTACAGGACAGAGGCACTTCTTACCCAGCTCAGTTATCATTTGTATGCTGGTCCCACTGCTTTTATCCTGACTGAATGAAATCACAGGCACTTTTTTGCCTGGCTTTGCTAATGGTGCTAGACAAGTGTTGAGGAAAAACAGTTACTGGTACATGTCAACAAGGGACAACAAAAGATAAAAAACTCCACTTTTAGTACTTTAATCAAGCGCTGACAAGCCTCTAATTGCAGAAATTGTGTTTTCAGATCTGTTTACAACTACTTAACTGAAAAAGTCATGCAACAGTAGAGCTAGTATATCAATCATGTGACAGAAGCACACGGCGGCGGCCGTACCGAGCTCCGTTATGATGGGAATGTTGGCTCCAGTGGTGACAGAAGTCTGCCTGACTAATCCATGGACCGGGCTGTTCTCAGGAGAAGATCTGTCCATCCCTGGTGGTGTGAAGCCTGAACGGACACGAAAGCAACATAAAGCACATTTGTTAATGCGATATCCAATACTGCATCAGAGGTTACCATCAGCAGAACCAGCACGGCGGGCTGTTTGCTCCGTCCCCAGGCCACCGGTAAGGCTAAAGTTGCTGAGTGCAACGTTACTGTATTCTTGACAAGCACTAATATTGGTCTATATATAATAAATGTGACATGCTGCTCATTTTGTTTCCCTCTGATTGTGTGTGTGCACGGAAACCTTTTACACACACATGCAAAAAAAACAGCATGTACAGTACAGAGCCATGAAATAGAAAATAAGTGACGCAAGATTGAATTCAAATTGACTTGACATTCGTTGCTTTCCTCAGACTGACAAGTAAGCACATTAAATCAGTGATGCTGTATGTATTATACATAGGCCGTGTTGTGACATCCATCACTTACTGCTGACTCAGGCAAACGCGAGGTCATACATGTATTAGAGGAATAATGAAATTGGCAGCGAGTTGTTTTTTTTCCTCTTTCCTCAGGTCAAGAGGTTTCTAAAAGCATTTCTCTCAATACTAACCAATGACCATTATTGAAGAGCATCTGAACCTAAGTGAGTGCTTCAGGTGACACTTAGAGAGCTGTAACATGCGATATTAATAAATTATATATATGATGCGTATAAATTATCCACACACAGCATGTTATTTTTGCAGTGATACTAAAAAAATGAAAGCGTACAGGCCAGGTGAGGCTTTTGTGTCGACGCTGTGCTTGTTGCCACCAATTAGGTTTGTGAAGAAACCAGTTGTTACAGTAACCTGAGGAATAGTCAGTAGGGTTTACTGTCAACCGCAGTGACACCGGGTCAGCCAGGCAGCACCCAGTGAAGAATATTCTCTGTGCCAGCGCCCTGTCCCTCGCAGGCGGTGCACTGAACTATGATAGGGCGCTCCTTACCTTGAGAATTAGCCTGCAAGACCCCAATGCTGTCGTCAAACTGCATGGATTTGATGTTGAGCGACGCCAAGATGCATTCTTTGTCCTGCAGTGATGCGTCGTCAATATTGTTCTGATTGGCTGACAGGATGACACACATGTCGCAGAGGTTGATGTTGACAGCCCTCAGATCTGCCCGACTCAACGGCGTGCCCTTTGAGAAGACGTTAAGGAGAGAATATGTTATCTCACCTACGCGACGCAAGAGATGAATCAAAATGTTCTAAAACCCGGGACCTGTGTTTGGAGGCTACTAGCTTGTTTTGGCTAAAAGACACTGTAAGGTTTCATATGTTTAAAATCTAGTTTTTTCGTGTGTAGCCTACTGTATATTTTAAAAACTTTGAGGTCTCCAATAAAAGCTGTGAGAATCTGACAGTGCTGACTACCGACATGTCTGATCTCCCCTCGTCTTTACCAGCTGGTCAGAATGTTGGTAAGTAAGAACTGAGGAACCAATCTGCATAGTCCTGCTTCTGCTAACTCTAAAATGCCTCAGCCACAAGCAAAACACATCAAATATGCCGTTGTTGGCTGCAAGCCTGAACACAGCAGCGTTACTGCACTTCCAGCATCTGAGGAACTAAGTGTTAGTGTTAGCACGTTGTGCTGCTAACGTGGCTAAAGTTACCATTAGCTTTGCTCGCATGACCACAGGTCAGAGCTCTGTGGAAGCACAAACACTGAGGGACAACCCAGAATGATGGAAACAGTGAATAAGGCCCGATTGGGTTCCTGTGTTTTCACTTGAGGTGCTTCAGAGAAATCTAAATGTGTTCGTTCCTTCTCTCCTGCCCTCTGTGCTCACAGCTGAGTTCCAAAGAAAGCTGATCTCATTTAAACAGTTATATTTTTCTGTTGCCAGACAACAAACAAGTCTGTGACAGTGACTGAAATGCAGCCCATGCAGACGGCAGGTTGGCTGTAGTCACTTTAATGCTGTTTTCAGGATGCCGCTCTGCAGCAAAATGATTTTATAGGAGCACCATCGTCTGACAAACTCCCCACACGAGCTGAAAACAAAAGCAGTGCTGTGAGTTCTACGATATTTCCAAGAGAAATGATTGTGCAGACAGAAAGTTAGACGTGAACGAAGCCCTGCTCTCAAACACTCCTTCATGTTTGTTGTTGTGGATAGAAGCGACTCAGCCTCATGAAAAGCTTCAGGCGCTGAAACAGCCCGTTTAGAACCGGGTCTAAACCAGAGGGGATACAGTTCAGATTAAATTAAGCATCTTTGCAGGATTTTGAGCATAAAAAATGTAGAATTTGTTTAGTGAGAGCATTTTAATGCACAATTAACAGCTTGCAGATGTGAAATATGCTAGTTTGTCTACATATTGGTTAAAAAAGGCCTGTTATGTGTATCACTGTGAATGAGCAGCAGATAAAAGTCATTTTAAGTGTTTTTCTTTACTCACTGGCAGAATGGAGACTTTTGGGAAGTTATGAAGAGTTTCCCATTCCCGCTTCAGATACTCGAGGGAACCGACGAACACGATGTGCTTCAGCTCGTGGTAGTGGAAGTTGCTCGCTCTCAGGGGCATCACGAAGTTACGGAGACCAATCAAGGCCGATTTCACGTCGCCAAATATGCACACGACCACATGACCGCTCAGAACCGTCATGGCCGCCTCGCTGCGGGTCTGAAACAGAGAGAGAAAGGGATAAAAAAAAAAAATGTGTTTATGACAGGAGTTTGGCCCGAATGTGCTGTTCTTGAAAATGTTAGTGCTTTCTCCTTTTTCCAGTCAGCCAGCCCTCCCTGTGAAATATATCAAACAGCTCATGACTGCAGTAGACGATGAGAGTAATTTGAAAAATGGCATATGTATTAGTACAAGAAATGTTCTATGTACAGGGCCTCCTTATAGCAAATGACATGTCAAACACCTCATTACAGAGTGTTTAAGTGCCCTGTCAGCCTCTGATGGCGCTCTGTGACATGACACATCTGTCACCGGGGGGAAGCGTGTCAGGGACAAATGACGTGTGCCGAGCGAAGGAGCAGGACCCACCAAGATGACCTTCTCGATGTCTTTGGACGGGCACCAGTGAAACATCCCCGTGGAGTCGTATTTCTTTACGTTCTCGTCCATGCTCTCAATCTGCTCGTTGCCGGGGATGAGGAGCGGGTCGTGTCTAATCAAACAGAACGACGGGATGGAGGGAATGAAAGAACAGCGTCAGACTCTGTAACCGTGGATGAAATTAACTGCATTTCAACATTACAACAACACCCAAACATTCATACATAGATCATCGTTTTATTTGGGAATCTCCAAATAAGTCGCATGTACTCCAAAAAATTTGCCTTTTCCCCTCCTCCCTCCTCTCTTTGCTTATTCCTGTCAGAGACCATCTGCAGAAATGCCAACAAAACTGCCATGTCATCAAGTGGAGTGACATCAGCAGCAGCAGCCAGGCGGAAGGAGATGGCAGCAACACACTGCGCTGATTGGCATGAGCACGGAGATGCAATTACGCCCCCTTACTGCATACAGCTTTTGACGTAGTGCGCTGCGTGGTAAAAGCTTTAACAGACCAGACTTTAAATATTTCAGGAATTTGCCCAACCATATTTGCTTTCCAAAGTGAAGGGTATGAATGTTTAAACAGACCACCACAAGTACATAAACTAATTTCCCCGAGCATCAACCTGCAGAACACCGGCCACCGAAGCGGTCTCCTAACATGAGTAGCTGCGGTTGGACCACGCTCGATCTGGTCGGACTGACATGATCTGTTGGGTTCAGTGAGATGTACCAGTACAAGATAATCGTGGCACCACAAAGAAGTCGTATAATCCAGCCCCTCTCAATAGGAATATGCAATGACCTTTAATTTGCAAACAAATAAATTTAAATTTGTACATATGAAAACCGTATAATTAATCTGACCTCTTTATCCTTCAGCAGAATGTTCATACAAAACGTTATCGATGTCACTCTGATGATGTTTGTTTTTTATTAGCAATATTACAATAATCAAAAATGTGTGATCTATACAGAGAGCATTATTATAATATGTGGGGTTCTAATGTTAAACCTGACATATGATAAAAGCCACATTTTGTTCTTTTACAATTTGTTCAGATTCATTATTTGGCAAAACAATTTAGTAAAATAACACAATTTAATTATAACAAATGTCAGAGCACAGAAATGTTCAATGACTCCCATTGTTCAGATTCCAAAGTCTCCCCTTCATCTGCTCGTCACGTCTGTTATAACCATGAACAGAAAAACGTGAACTGGCCAACCAGTGCATGAGACCAGCAGCCACTGGTGGCCGAGGTCGCCACAGAGCTCGTGTGCTGCCCGACACCATCCCCTCTGCACCAAACTGACTTTGTCACATTCAGATCACTGTTAAAGACGTCGTCATCTGCAAACCCAGACAGCAACCTTCTGTCTCTGTCCAAAACCTTTTAAATACTTCAAGGCTTCTCCCCAAAAGAGCAGCATCTCTTTAATCCATGGGAGTGCTTTAAAAGAATGCTACCATAAGTAACATGTTAAGTATGCATGAAGGTGTCAGCTGAAACTACCATCCCTCGGGCTGGAAGAGACTGTAGCCGAAAAACCTGCCTGTGGGCTCATATATCCCAAGGCAAGACCGGGACGCTGTTCAAGTCGAGCAGTAGATGGAGAAGGAAATGTCTTTTGTGCCACTTTCTGCCTCTCAGACACCAGTCTGTTGGTGCAGTGTTAATTTGAAAAGACACAGTCGTGGTTCTGCTCATCAGAGTCTGTAAGTTGTCTTTAAAAGTACAGAACTTATCTGAACAACAGATAGAACAAAGAAACTCTGAACTCCTTCATTTTTGTGGGATTTTAAGTAACGATGAGGCGTCGCATGAGATGAGTTTCTCCGTCATATGCTGACAATAAAATATCTTCCAGATCAGACACATGACAAATTAAGTTTGGTGGTTTTGTGACCTTTTTCAGTATTGACTGAACGGTTCAGGGATTTATTGATTATTTAATCATCTAAAATGTCAGAAATGCTCATCAAAATATCCAAGAAGTGTTTCTTAACTCTGTTTTGTCTGACCAACAGCTCAGAGCTCCGAAGAAGTGAGAATTTATTACATTAAAATGGATTCATCACTCATAAAATCATAGCTTAGCCTGTACAGCATTAGACAGCATTGTTCTATATGTTCTATATATACATGCTGCATTCTTTATCATGAAGAGTTAAATACAAGTTCTTATAGGAGTGTCAGCATTTAGTGGTTTTACACCTTGGCTAAATATTTCATCAAAAGTCAAATGTTTCAGCACTCACTCAGTGGAGCCGCTGTCACTTCGGTTTGTCCTTGTGGAGATGACTGGTGAGGCAGAGCTCTGCCAGGATAGCTATCGCTCACTGTCAGCCATGACGGCCTGTCACTACCCTGCACTGCCAATTGCCTCAGCAGTGCTGTAGCAGACATGACGTGTATGTCACGGCGCTGCGATGTGACCAAACGCGTTATGACATCCCGCAGTTAGATGTGTCTTATGACCCATCAAGGAGCCTGTGGAAATGGTGTTAATTTCAGTGAGGTCGTCATTGCTAAGTTGCAGACAGGACGTGTTAGTTTGCTGGAACTGGAAGCGGAACTGTCTCCTGGAAACATGTGATTGCTTTCTTCTTTTGTGCGCTTGGTTTCATTACACAGTGCAGAGGCGTCTGCGAGTGTCATTTCAGCGTACTTGTAAAGATTCAAACTGATCAGCAGCGTAATTCACGACTTTAGTTTTATGATGACACGTCTGACAAGACTTCACACATCATGACCGCAAAACATAAGGCCAGGTGTCTTCTAGAGCAGCGTAATGACAGCTGAGAGAGACGTAAAGTAGAAGGCAGGCATGCACATTATGTAGATCTTCTACTTCAGCATCACTGCACTAGTTTACTGTAACACCAGCACTGAGGGCAGGCAGCGCCTCTGAAAACCCTCCCATCATGCAAACTGACAAAGGCTTGCTCTTCAAAACCCACAGCCAATCTGTTGATCATTACTTATTTACAAAGGCCTCGAGGCCGCAGGTCCTGTAAAAACACATTTGATATAGTATACACCCAGATGTTTTTTTCTTGGCTTGTTGCGATGAAGTATCCCCGAGGCTAGCGGGGCAGCGAATCCTTCTCCAGCGTGTAGGCAGCAGACGCTGCAGGAAATAACGCATCCACCTGTATTGCAGTGCATTAGCATGGCGAGTAGATGGATTGATTTGGTTGGTTAATATTTAGCTGATGGCTATAGCATTGGAAAAGCCTGGTTTTGTTACCCAGGAGTGTGGAAATAACCCGGAGCGATTCAACTTTAACACCACTTTGAACCGAATCAAACAAGGGCAAACGCCCACCTGAAAACCAGAGGCCACGGATCAAAGCTAATCTATGCATAGAAACACTTCTAGTTATAATACTAAGTCATTTCTATAACTTGATGCTGATCTGGACTTTATCTGATCGTATTAAACAACGATACGGATATTTTTCGGTTTGATTTCCTAAATGTTAAACAAGCAGCAGCCATGTTAGCAAAGGCAGCATAAAGTCATCCGTCAGTGTTGGTTTCATTTCATCTGTACGGTTCCACTTTGTATACATCCAGCTGCAGCTCCTTCCTGTTGCCTGGCTTTCTTATAACATGGCACTTAATGACAATGACGATTACGATTATCGTCCCAGTAATGGCTTCTTGTTGAATAACAGCGTTATCTCCAGTCAAGATCAATGAGCGCCGATTTAATTTTACGAGACAAGATAAAAGCAAGGTAGCATTTGAATTCGCCTTTCATTGTGATGATACATATCATCTGTGGCCTTACGTGCTGAAAAGACCTCAGAGGGATCCGACAATAGATGAATAGCCCTGGGCTATCCATCCTTTAGAGCCTCTCTGACTGCCTGGTGCTGTCATTAGTGCCAGGCCTGTTTAAGAGCTGCAGTCTGTGGGTGTCACATGAAACCTCGTGGCATGGAGCTCTTCTGCAAGTCTGACCTGTTTTCTGTGAAAACAGGAGCACAGAAATGTGCTTTAAGATGTTCTCCATTAGAGCTGCATGATCTTGAAAAACGTTTCGATATTTTTTTCTGAGGACTTTTCACCAGATTAATTAAATAAGTGTTTGGAAGGAATTCTGTAGTGATTTGGGTGATTTTGTGAGGGATGAAAAACAGAAAATCATTTTTAAAAAAGCCAGAAAAACTCTGGCAGAAACATCCCCAATAGTTTTTAGCTTCTTATTAGACTTTGCACTCATCATACAGAGCGTCGTGGTGCTCATTTAAATAATCAAACTCATTCGTTGTTTTGCCTCGTGTTGCAGCAATAACTGCAAAACGCTGCTGACAGAACACCTGTTCCTGGTCAACGTGGTCTTCTCTGTAGCTGAAACCTTTCAGTATTTCTTTCCTTTACTCGTTTATGTTGCCGTGCAGATGTGGATCCATAAAGGTCTGGTGAGTCCAACCAATGGAGGGATTTCCTCCTACAGCAGCAGCAGCATGCGAGCAGGGACTGATTTGTTTAATTTCAAGGATGCTTAAAGCTGCATTAATCAATATTTTGTGCATTGAATCACCATGTGTAACGTGGAAGAAGCTGCTCAGCTACCATCTGAGTCTGTGGATCCACACATCGTAGCTTATGTTCAGGTTTTCATGGCCCACAGCTTTAGCGGTTCGTTCAGGTGATGCAGGGAGCTGGTCTGATGAACTAAATGAGTATTTTGCTGTTCCAGTATTTTCATTGTGATGTTTCCGTTAACATACAGCTGAAAGCAGTCCGACTCTTAGATTCATCCAGTGGCTGCAAACACAGAGTTAAACTCCTGCTAACGCTGCTGTGTGACCACCGGTTGTGTCATTAAGCAACTGATTGTCTTGACAGTTTTTTCTAATGTAGTTGTTAAAGAAATTCGACGACTGAATAACAACAAACACGTCAGACAGTTCTGCCAGACTCTCCTCTGGGACTGTATGTGTGTTCTGTGGTATCCTCTTTGGTTCATATGAATTTAAAAGATGAAGAAAAGTCACATTAAACAGACACAGCGGGAGCTTCAGGCCACCTACCTCAGGATCTTGGGTGAGGAGTTTGGAGAGTTCCTCATACCTCCGTTACGCTGCTTTTTTTTGGGCGACAGCACCGACTGTTGGTCCTCTTCAACTGCAACACAATGCAGCGCTGTGAGCTCAGAGGAAGATGATCAGAGAACAAACCAAACACTCCACACATCAGTGACGGCAAAACAACGACACAGCACGATCTGAGGTCAGTGAATTCAAAGAGATAGGACGCACACAGAGACAGAGAGGAGAGAGGTCGGGTGAACAAGATGGAGTGGACAGGACACGCTAACTAGTGAGTAGCAGGAAACAGTCCAACGTTTGCATAATGCAGACAGGAAACGTTAGCACAACATTTGCATGGTTGTGTGTGGAGATGCAAACATGCAGTAGTGCCATCATCAACCATCATGCCAATTGCTAAACTGTGAGGTTTTTTTTATTCACTAATCCAGAGAACTGCTGTAATCCACTTGTCAACAGTTTTATTATTCAGATAATGTCGCTCTAGGGCTGCGAGAACACTTTCATTTTTATAATCCCTCCACCTAGACTTGGATCGCGTCTCTGTTGGTCATACTAATCACTTTCATTCCCATTTAATTAAGGTAATAACCTATAAATATCAAGCATCCAGCGCTACAAAATAAGGCTGCTTTCGTGCCAGTCCTGAATCCAGGATTTCTGGTCTTTCTTCATGTTGGGAGTGGCGCCTCTGGCTCGTGTAATTAGGTTGGTCCTCGTGCCCGAGTGATTTATGTACAGCTGAGACGCCCCTCGGACATCGTCTTTATCACTTCCACAAACTACAGCGAGCTTCATATGGAAGGAATTATAAGTTTTACCCCGGAGTAAAGTAATCAGGCAAATATTTTCACAAGCTAATATCACAGCTGAAGAAAACAACTGTGCTCTGTGGCAGTCGCTGGTAAAATAAACACGAGCAGCAAGACGAGTGTTTCGCTAATAGCGCTTTAACAGCCATCGCTCAATGGGAACAGCTTGTTACAGGTCACGGAAAACACGCTCCAGTGTCTTTTAGCTGATGGTTTAGGGAACGCTCGGCTGTTTGGGGTTTTTACAAAACATCTGCAAGAGCTGATCCCAAAGATCACGCTCGTCTGCAGATGAACGCGTGATTTCTGTTGGAATATCTAAGGCTGACACCATAATGGAAAATGTTGAAGTACAGGGTGCTTCCAGTGGAGAGGGATGCTCCAACACACTGGCCCTTCACATCTTGCTCGGCCTGTTCAATATTTAATGTTTCACAGCTGACAGCTGCACACACTAGGTCATTAGTAAGGAATGCTACACATGCAACCACTCCAGACTGGCAAGCACATGCTTTGGTTGTGCTGTTGTTGAGTTCAGGCCTGCCAAACACGCCGAGGGTAGGGGGAGCGGGGGAGGTGGCCCTTACACTGCTTCTGACTGAGTGTGGCGTTATTGGAGTGACTGGGGTGGTATCTGTATTTCACCGGCAGGCTACGCGCCCGCTGGAGCCGGCTGGCCTCTTCTGCCAGCCCTGGTAGCCGGCCTACCTGGGCCAGGTCCCTGGAGCCCGTGAAGCTCAGCCTCAGAGCGGAGGGCTCGGCGGGGGGCAGCAGGCTTCCCTTGCGGTTGTTTACCAAAGGGACCGACACAGCGGCAGCGACGCCCCTACAGACCTCACCGGCCGAGTGGTGGTTGGCTTTAGCTGACTTGTACTGATAAGTTGAGGGCTGGATTAGGGGGCTGTCGTCTACGGCTGAATGGAGAAGGGTCACAATCAGCAGCTGCACAATGCAAGACTTCTCTAAAGTCTCAGCTCAAACAAATCACAAAACAACATGTTCCCTTTGCTCTGTAGGTCTCCAGCCATCGTGGTCGCTCTGGTGTCGAGTGCAGAGGTTGAAGATGGCCGTTCTACATTTCTGTCTCCATCCAAATACAATGACGGTGAATAAAACGTATTTGTGCTGCTCACAGCGTCACACAAACCCAACAGCAATCTGTGTGAAACAGTTGCTCTGATAATCCTCCGGCTGCACCGTGGAACTACTTCCTACTGAACAAACAGCCCGATGACGACGGTCTGCAGCGTGATCTGTAGAAAATCCTGCTTTCTGGAGATAAATGTTGTTTTTCATTATTCCTAATTATTTACGTATTTATTTATTTATTTATTTAGCTGTGGGAACACAAACATAATTTAATTCACCTCTATTGTATTAAGTGGATTTCTCAGAGACTTTATTTTTTTAATTTATTTTAATAAAACTGAAGTAATGTGAATGTTCAGACAGCAGAAGGGGAAAATAAAAAAAAGGCTGCTTTGTGATTTGAGTGAACAAACCCTTTAAATTCTTCAAGTTAAACACAAGACAGGATCTGATGTGAGCTGACTTCAATAAGACCTGCAGTGTGTGTGTTAATAAAACATCTTGTGACTCTTATCATAATTAAAGGACAATCACAGGTTTTGGGGGTAATTCTTTCTGGCACAAGAATGCTAATGGCTGAATAATTAAAAAACGCTCATTTTTATTTAACACCACTTAACCACTTCGTATAGCCGCCAATGAAATGTTCGATTTGACATTTGCTTTGATATTAATAGTAAACATGAATTAATAAATATGCTTTCAGGTGTTTCAGCAATTGTTATGCCACAGGAACAAGGAGGTGACAACGTGGATTAGCAGCCACGAGCCGCCGTGTGCAGATTGCTGCTGATGAGGGAGGAACGAATTCAGCATCCCTACGAGCGATATGATGGGAGGTAAGACTGGTGAAGATAAAACAGAGCAAAGAGGCGTGTTTTCCTTAAGTTAAAAAAAAAATGTCTTGGAGCTAAAAGTGGAGAAGAGAGATGATTATTTCAACAGTCAGCTGTCTAGCAGATTATCCTCCCTGCTCCAAACCTCCACTATTCATCTGGCCCGTGTCAAACATGCACAGCACTTCTCCAGGACAACCCAACGTGGCAGATCTGCTGCCGATCACACGTCCTGTTAAAATGGACAGCCTACGAGGTCCACGCCGCTCCAAGGCTGGGAGGAGGACTGACCAACCATCAGGTCAGTTCTTCACGTTTGATGCTACAAAGTTTGGGTTTAATTTTTAACGCTGATTTAATTCATCGACACTCACAGTGAAGCAGCAGCACCATCTACTGCCGAGCTGTAACTGATACCCAGCACAAAGAGAACAGCTCAGGAACAGCTTCCTTTGCATGTGAAGCCCGGTGATGGATGATGATAGGCTGGACGCTGACACACAGCAGGTTAGAGACGGCTCAGGTGGAAGGGTTAGAGACAAGAGAGAGAGAATGGAAATCAAAACTTACTTGATTTGATATATCCATTATAGCTATTTTTAGCTGAGAAAAATGCAGAGACGGATGAGAGGTTACAGGGAGAACAGGTTGCAATGAAAAGCAAATTATAAATGACAACTGTGAACTGAAGGATTTCTCTTTAAGGCACTTGGAAAAAAAAAAAAAACAAATCGAGACGTGCCTTGAAGACAACATGGACGACATGGCGATGAGAAATAAAGCACAGGTCAGTTAGGAACAATGCGGTCGGTTAGCTTAACCAGTGGATCGCTGTCAGAGTCGCAGGAACGGCGGTCACCTGCTGAGGTGGTTCGATGAGCACTGGTTTGGTTGTTTTGCACGTCTTGGTTCACATCGAGGTAAATTTGGGAGATTAAATTTATTTTCATGTTTGATTAAGCTACAGTTTATCATCTCAGTTTATCAGTTTGTTGGTAAAATGTCAGAAAATGCAGATTACAGTTTAAACTTTAAATATCTTGTAAAGCTGAAACTTGTCTGAAAATCAAAACAGTTGCTTTTTTAATGAACTAATCAGCTAATCGACGGCTCATTTTTTCTCTCTTTTAGGGTAAACCATACATTCAGCAGAGTTAAATGACTGTATTTTATGGTGACGCAGGTCCTGACTGTAATGCACACAGTCATCATAATGTGGTTTCACTTCAGCATCTACAATTAAAAAGACGGTTTAGACTCGAAGGAGAATCCCCCGTGTTCACGACGCAGACCTGCACTAACGCTCACTCAGAGGTACGCAGACGTACAACACGTTATTGTCTATAGTGTTTATTTTTCCTTGTCTTTTCTGAAAGCCTTTTCCCATTCCTCTGCCCTGCCGGAGACAACTCGCATCCATGCATGGAACTTTGTGTGAGTCACTTTTTGGAGCCGTGAGTCCCACACATGCTCATTAGTAACTTATTTCAACCCCTTGCTTACAATAAAGGTCACGCATTGAGCTTAAGGCAGGACAGTGACAGCAATGTTCAAACAGGGACCTTGCTGGTCCTGGCATCTGTCGCCTGCAATCGGAGGGCGCGAGCAGAGTCACAGGACTAACAGGCTAGCATCTGTCCCACAACGAGAGGGGAGGAGAGGGGCGGGGGCACTGGGCTGCCTGGTGGTTAGGAACTGTCAGGCTGAGTTTCATGACAACCGGTAGCACTCCAAAAATGAAAATGCAAACATAATTTCCATGTCAGGCCGTATAAGGCCTCGCCGCGCGCGTCTCCCGCACCGTGTCGACAGCGACTCCGGAGCTCTGCTCAGGCTTAGCTAGCCGGGCGGCGCTCACAGCACACGGCGCTGGAAGACATGTTGAGGAGTGGAAACGCCCAGAGATGCTCAACTACACACAGAGCAGCCTTTGATCAAGAGACGTTCGCTAAAAATGTATGACAGTCGACAATGTTTTCCAGCAAATTGTATCAACGGCGTACAAGCCCAGACACATTCTTCATGTCTTCTGCGATACATCAGTGCAATTTAACATGCCCTCTGGCTTTAAGAGGGAAATCACACTTGAATTAAGAATTCATACGCAGCTCAATTCAGTTCAAGTTAATTCACTAAAACCCGATACAAGCCAGCTCTGTTCCACTTTATTCCTCTCACAGTCCGTCTCCATCGCGTCGTATTCTGCTCCTGTTACTCTACAATTCAATCAGCATTATGAAGCAAAATCTCTCGCAGCTCAAAATTACATCCCAGAGCTGCTCCAACAAACGGGCCACTGGTTTGTCTCCTGAATGTGTTGGAGATTTTACCTCCAGTGCTTGTTCCAGCTTTTGATCTTAATTTAATAAAACCAGCTCATTAACCTCAATATATAATGCAATCTTCTGAAAATCCCCTCAGGTCCTCTTCAGACCATTTTCTTTCTTTCTTTCTTTCTTCCTTTCTTTAAAATATATCAGTTGTCAATGGCATGCACACTTACAACCACCTCAGATCCTATCCTGTTCACCCATTTCTGCAGGGCACACTAGTACAATGTTTGAATTAAGTGGATGTTATTTGAGTTATTCCTGAAAAGCTGAAGTTACCCTCTCCAGTGACATCATTATAGTGTTGGTACGCTGCTATCAGAGCTAACCCTTTGAGGAAATGCACATAAACTCTCTATTATCTCCAAGTTTGCGTGTGCATCGTGAGGTTTGCTGCCGGGATGCACATCTGTACATTGTTCATGGCTCCAGCTGTAATTTCTTGTAAATGTGTCACTGGAGGGAGAATCACTTCTCACACAAATTTAGCATCAGTGATCTGATTCAAACCACAGGTCCATTTGAATTCACATTCTCTTGACAAAACACCAGCAACACAGTGAACCAGCATGCTTCACGACAGCCAGAAGTCACCTCCAACAGTAGCGACAGAGAGGGCAGAGCACCAGCTGACTGGAAATCATAAAGCCAGAACGACAAAGCCACATCTACACCCATGACGGTGACGACACAGCTGCTAGAGCTACACAGCACACAAGCTGGAGGACGGTGCATGTTACAGACACTGAGGAGCACATGTCATGGCGACAACTTACAGGCACGTAAAGTGGCTGAGCAATCATTAACAGAGACAGCAGAGAGTGGGATGTCCCGATGAGGGGAGTCCGTGTTACAACGCACATTAACCGGCATGCAAGAGCAGCCGCGCTCTGAGCGGCCGCAATCAAAACAACATGCCAGGCTCATTGTCTTGTAGACGGGCGTCTTGGCTACAGTCATGGGTTCAGACGAGAGGAGAGGAAGAGCAGGTTAATGTGGAGGGTCGCTCTGGAGGAAGAGTGGACAAAGGAAGACAGGGCAGAGAGGAAGGCTGCTGCTGCTGGGGATGCACAAGATAGACTACGCCAGGACAGCGTGCACATGTCAGATTAACAGTTTGGATCTGTTTTTTTTTTGGGTCGATTCTGGGACTAGTGTGGGAGATGGCATCTTATCTCATGACTTCCTGGCTTCACCCCTTCCCCTCACCTAAACATCACCTCAAGGAAACATATGAGATCAGAGGACATGTTATTTAATGTTAAACTCATAAAGGGAGACGCTGCAGGTCAACAGGGTCACATGTACCTAACAGATATCACCATGACACTTCTCTGGTTGGTTATTTACATTAAGGCAAAGACTTTTAATATTAAGGTTCTAACAAAAAGCTGTGTTTGAATATGCAAATGAGGTCATGTGTATTTAAAATGTTGCATGAAATTCCAGACCAGACATCTGAACAGTGGATGAAGCCAGATGCTTTTTGTTTTCATGCTAAAGTCAGAGTTGTTTTGTTTGTTTTTATCACTCCACCAACCAGACAATACAGCCAACAGCCTTAAAAAAAGGTTTTTACTGTGTGTTTTATGAATAAAATGATCTATGAATCAGGCTATGGATGATATATGAACAAACCTCACTGTAGAAACCTTCAGATGGGAGTAAAGCTGGAGAGTCTGACGTATGTAAACGCTGCTAAAGTGGAGATTTGTGTCGATGAGGAAAGAAAGGACGAGTAAAAACTGGTTTTGATTTGTATAGATATGTGTTATAACTGGAATCTACAGGCACAAATAAACACGTGTAGGAAAATAAACAACCAAAGGAGGAGTTTGGATGTTTTCTTTCCAACACAGAGGACACGTTATGAAGGCCAAATATCCCAAAATCTCAAATTTAGTGTTTCTGTAGAGTCTCGACTTCAATATTCATATTTGCAGCTGCGAATTAAAACTCTAGGACAAGATGAAGCAACTTCTAGAAGCTTCTAGATAAACCTACATCCAGAAAGGACGCAGTAAGAAAACTTGTGTGCCGCTACATAGGAGCATAAATTCATTTGTCATAACTCAGATATTTCTCTATTCTGCTCTATTTCTCCACAGACGTTCTGGAAGAAGCTCCGCAGTCGTCTCTGTGAGTTACATCATTTTAGTTTATACGTCAAATGATTTATTCCTTTCAACAACACGGTTAAAATGAGAGATTTCCCTTCGTTTCTCATCTCTGGCTTTCTGAAGCGCTCTTCTTGTGGGGATGTTGTGTTTGTGAAAGGACAGCGGGGACATCTGGTGGTGGTTTGGAGAATTACAGCAGAGTCAGGCATGAATGAATGAAAGTTTGATGCTCTTTTTGCTATACTGCAATAATAAACCAGATTTTTCACATTAAAAAAACAATAAATGTTTCAGGTATTGAACTATTCCCACCAAAAAATTGTTATTGCTGGTCTTTTTTTTTGGAATGTTTTAAACTTTAAAAGCGACGTGCACAAGACAGCAGGGAGGGATCCAGGCAGCATCAACCAGTGGACATGCAACATTTACAGTGCATTCAAACAGGTCGCTTCAGTCAGGGGTGCAGGAGCAGGCTGAGGGGAAACAAATCCACGTTACTCACAATATATCACTGTGAGTGAGTTTTTAAGAATAGTGTGCCAAGATCCCAAGCAGCAGGAAAAGAATACATCACATGTCAAAGTTAGGTGTTAGCTACAGCGGTCACAGTGAGACTTTAAGTGGAAGAACAACAAAGCAGCACAAAATCCATAAAGACATGATCCATGATCCAGGTACTGGTGGTGCTAACAGTCCGTCTGAATCCTGTTAATCAACGAGCTGTAACGGTGAGCTGGTATACAACAGACAGTACAGCAAACATCCACAAACAAAATGTAGACTAAAGTCAGACGTTCTTAGACGTGTTAATTAGCTTCTCACTGCTCTGTGTATTTATAACAGGTGGGAATCACACGCTACTCTCTCTGTGTCTAGTCCTTTTCCATTAGTAGCATCTACCTCAGCAACCCAAAAGGAAATGTAAAAAAAAAAAAGGAATATTTGTTAAATCAGTTCACCCAAAAGAAAAAAAAAAAAAGGCAGAAATATCTCAAAGTCTCAGCATATAAAACCCAAACTATCTGCCTGATGAGACCGCTGGGAAGCTGTGTTCTGGTAATTTGGGTGAAGTGACCCGTGAATGAGGGCAGGTATTCATGTCATTCAGGAATCCAGATATGTGGCTCAATGAGGGAAACTTGGAGCTCCACAGTTTGTTTTGGCCGCAGAGAGAAAATCCGACGACCTTTCTTCATGCACAAATTACAAGGTTTCCTGAAGTGAATAATTAATGCAGGAACTAAGTGGTCTGGACACATGGCTATGTAGGTCATGTAAATACACCATCACGCCGCCACGCTAACGCCAGCTCAGAGCTGCTGCACTTCAGCCTGTGCAGGAATACTAATGAGGGCAAACCGACTTGGACAACGTGTTTACGTGTAATCACTTACATTTCTTGCATCCACATTTCTTTATCCTTTTGGGATCGGTGATGTCATCGTGACAGGCCTTACAGTAAAACAGCGCCCTGTGGAGGGAAAAACAAAGAGTCCCGTTTACCGCAGGATGACTCGTTTACAGCTCGTATCTAAGGAGCTGACATGAAGTGAAAACGTGCCAAAAGTTGAGCAAAGAGTGGGCGTTCCTGTAGAAGCTCAGTTCTAATGTTCACTGAAGCTTTGTTCAGGTCATTTCAGGATGTGCCACCACAAATCCACCGAGTCCTCTGACGGGTGACGTCATCCTCCAACCCTGACCGCTTGTACCTTCAGTCTGTCTTTGAACATTAACCTTACACAAGCAGATACAGGAAACCGGCTAACGTTCCTCCTCAGCTACATCAGTCCTAGCAAGCACCACAGCCTACGCCTCCGTCTGTGGCGTCACCAGCAACAACCAGCGACATGTTGAAGCTATATAAAGTGGCTCGACCCACCAAATTAACCCAACACACCTCCTCATGGGGGCTGCAGAATATTGGGAGAAGCGGACATTGTGATATTTTGCTTTTCAGCAATATTCTGTCTAATGTGATGTGAAAAAATACAGGAAGCAGAAAACCAAAGTACGATGTTACTTGGACAGACTTAATGATTCTGGGATGATTGAGGCGGTTTGGTAGGAGACTGAACATTCCCTTCACAGTGAGATTTATTTTTCAGTTACTCATACGGTGTAACACCACTAAAGGCTTCTGAAATATTGTTTTTTTTGCTTTGGATGACATTCAGACGTGGTTTTGCACTCGTCATGCAGAGCTTTATGCTGCTGATTTAAATGCCCACAGAAAAAGCGCTCGCGTTGCGCCAACAGAGGGTCTGTTTTTAGTCAATGTCACCCTTTAGGGAGCAGAAATACTTCCATATGACTGACTATAATTACGGCCAAAATGATAATCATCGTTACTTTAATCAATACTAGGATCACTGTTAACCTGTTTATTAAAACTATTTACTGACGTGAGAGACAAAATACTTTTACTGCACTTTTATGACTCTAAACTATAAACATTTCCATGTTGTGTTAAATTCCTACTGATGCACAAACCTACATCAGAACAAGACCTTTAATAACATTCCTCTACATCCAGTGCACCTCCTCGGGGCAACATGTGAATAAACCTGAACCAGTGGGCCTCAGGTGCTGACAGCTGATATACAGTTTAGTCGTCCATGTAAGACACTAACTCAGCAGACTGTTGACCAATAATTACAGACTTTAATTAGAGGGAAAACGATTGTCCTGATGTCAGATTCACCCAAGCTGATACCAAGTGCTTTGAACGCCAGCATCGCTGCCACTCATGTTTGTCTAATTGTGAGAAGCCAAAGATGGAACCTAATATTTCGTTCATGTTGCAGCCGTAGAGCTGACGTCATGTTTGTTTTTGTGATCAAATCTTCCTTTTCAGTGTTTTTCTCTGGTTCCATGTTGCTGCACATGCAGGTCAACAACCTCAGTGGCTTGTAAATAAAGGAAAACAAACAAACAAACAAACACAACTCAGTGTACCAGAATTCTTAAATGAAGTAAACTATCTCCTATTAGACAGAGCTCCTGTGTGGATTAGTCGTGGAGAATGTGACTGTGTGAGTTTTCTTTTTGCATCAAGCAGAAAAAAAAATAAAAAATAGCAGCAGCATGATGTGTTTGAGTTCATCTGCACTGAGTCCACTGTGACTGTTAGACATGACTGAAGCTATAAACCATGAAGCTTCACTCCTGAGCTGCACTTCAGACAATCTAGACGAACATTTATTGGTTTTAATGAAACGCAGCATGTTGGGGAAATCCAACACGTGTCCAACACTGTGGGAAGACAGAACGACTGTAGCCCTGCTAAGAGCGGTTTACATCTTATGGAGCTTATTAACTTAACTTTTGTCATTTTTTTCACATATTACAGCTCAACTGAGATGATGTGGACAGAGATGCTATACGACACGGTCTGATCTCAGGTCTCGTTCATTACCTCTTCACTTCTTTGGCGTCGCTGGCGATGAAGAAGCCCAGGGTCCCCTCCTGCATTTTCACGTGGTTTCCAGGGTTGATCAGGGTGCTGCGAGGATTTGTAGACCAGCCCAAAGTTACATCACAGAGTTTGCAAGGCTTTGCACTAATCACCAGCAGCGGCGCACACCACCAGGATTAGTTTTCACAACTCATTTGGCAGGATAGCTTGAGTTTATTAAATTAAGTTGATGAAAGGAGATAGCGGTGACACTTCAGAGGGTTCAAACGAGCATCAGTGCATTAGAGGAACCACTAAAACAAAGCTGCTGCTGCTGCTGCGCTTAAAGACACCAACAGCCACCTTCCACATTAATTTGTCAGGATGCTATCACGCGGCTCTGTAATGTTGGTGAATGAACCAATTTAGACGCCAATTTAGCACATTTTGTAAAGCGCTTGTGTTTGCAGTCAAACAGGAACGCTGATTCAAAGCAGCTTCATCACTGAAAGCCAACACTGACAGCGAACACACCTGCGCATTAAAGTTTTTGCATACATGAATATTAATGACTCGGTGAGCGTCTCCACTTACCTGCTTTCCCTTTGATCAGACTTGTACTCTATAGCGATCAGCAGCAGCTTGAGCTTCACGTAGCAGAGTCTGCAACACAGAACAACAACCTAATTAGGCCTCACGCACGCTAAATATTTGTAGTTTTCAGAAAATCGTCTTAGCTCCAAGCGCCGCTTTCCTTAACCCAGAGGTTCAGATCGTATGATGGACACTTAAGGTGAATATTTAAATATGAGATATTGGAAGTTAATGAAAGTACGGAGGCCACACAGCGCCAACAGCTGCTCACATGTTTAACTTTCTGTCATACTTGTCTCCTATCATTCTCAGATCTATTCATCCCCTCCTATTAAAGAAAAGGCAAATTCATTAAAGTCACTCAAATAACTAGAAACTCGAAAAAGTAATAATAAATAAAAATTTGCTAAATTATAATTCAGTGAAATGAGACGTTGCTTTTGGATTGTGGCTAAAAAGAATAATTTAAAAACAAAACTGTCCTGGACCAATGAGAGCCCTGTACTTTCACACATCTGTTGGTTGTGCTCCAGTCACGGCAAAGAACGCAGAAGTTTTCACAGAATGTGGTGCAAACGGTTAACGTGGAATAAAGTGATGCTGATGCAACACTGGAGTTTATAACTGGGTTAAAGATGGTCAGATGGTTCCTGTTTTTACAGGTTCTGGTCCTGATAAATAATGTTGTTTTGCTGTTTTTAAAAAAAGATAAAAAGATGCTGTTGAAAGCCACCAGGGTGTTTCAGGGTTCACAGGATTAAGCCTTTCAACAGTATAGCCGCTATACCGGGCTGGCATTAGGACTCCTGTTCAACCCTGCAGCCCGGTACAGCGGCTCCGGTATATCGGATCTAGTGTATGGCGACTTTCTGTTACCTTCATTCTGATTGGCTATCAGTGGGAATCCCCGCATGTGAACAAGAGATTCAGTCATGAAATAAATTATGCAAATGAAGTAAAATGACGTCGTTTGACCCCAGAAATCTCCAGAAAACGGGATTTTCACTTCCTTGTGTCCGAAATGTTTATAAGCGAACAAAATTAACTAATTACAGACTTTGGCTGACGTCTCAGTAGATAAGAACTGATGATTGTTTGCATATATCCCTGGTAATTATGAAGTGTACCTTTTCACACCTGTATGTACATGACCAGAGTACAATAGCAGATATTACTTGTCTACTTTTGATTGATACCAGATGTGTAATGATGTGAAGTCTGCTGAAGAATGTATGAGTGATGAATCAGAACCATATCTGAGGGGTATTTCAAGCCAAAGATCCTGAGTGTTGAAGTGTAAAGGAATAAACATTTACTGAGTGTTGAAAGGGTTAAACTGCTTTTTCAAGGAAACAGTTCAGTTGTTCTGACATGAGACCTGCATCCAGGAAATGCAAAAGAAGTTTCCGTGTACTTACTCACAAATGACTGGGAAGGACAAACCCACAAAGGCACTGGACAGATACTCCGTGTACATCTCGTTGGCTACTCCTTCCAGGTAATACTTCTGCCACGTGTCCTCCTCGATCTGCGACAAACAGACGAGCTCATAACTTTACAAAAACACACAAAAAACCCCCAAAGTAATTGAAGTTCAGTGAGGTGTTTGTCAGGTTCGTCTCTGCCCACTGACCAGACGCTGCACACAGGCCTCATCTGGGACCATCTCTATTATCTATTCAGACTTTGGTTACGGCCAACTTTACTTCTGAGTTTAATCCAGTGAGCACAGATGGACACGTCTTAGCTACCTTGATGAAGGACCTCATGGAGAAGAGGTTGGCCAGCATGGTGGAGAGGCCCTGAGCCAGGCAGCTCTGGGCGATGAACCCGAGCTTCAGCTCTGCAAGGCAAATGGCGTCGTCTCCCTCCTTCCAGTTCCAGCTTGGGATGTTCAGAAGGTGGGCCTGAGAGGGAGAAAAACACAAGATGGTACAAAGTGAGGCAGACGATACAATCCTTCAACCCCACAGGACATCAGTTCAAACTAACGCAGGCATAAACGTCGATACTAAATGTTGAAGCAGAGCAGTTAGATGACTGAACCCTCAGTGCTCCATAAATACTCACCTTATTGTGGTACTGCAGCATCTGTGTGATTATCCGGATCTTCGGATGGTAGTTCTTGATCGATATCACCCTGATGCCAGACAAAACAAGAACATTTGCAAAACTCACAAAGGCTTTAGCTGTCAGTGTGGAACGTTACATTCTGCTCCTCGACAACAACAACCTCACATTGTTCTGCTATCATTAAAACACTTTACAGCAGCGCCGCAGGTATTTAAATGGACGCTCAGAGATTTAAAAGTGAACACTGAGAAGTTTATTGTGTCTTCCATCACAGGAAACTCATACTGTCTCTCTCAGCTGTTGATAATTTTCCAAAAGGGACTGTGAGCACCAGGATTTTGCTCCGACACGCTCGTGGTCTAAGCCAACGAAAAAGTGAGAGCTGATGTCAAACACTGATGGAGGTATGAGCGCTTGGTAACACATTACATTTACAGTATTAGCCTGTTATCTGGATTTATAGATGTCAGCTGTGTCGAGGACGCGCTGTTGCAGAGCTAACTCCCACCTATGAACAGTTTAGCTTCTTCACAGACTCCGTATCAGTAACACAAGATGAGCCAGGACAGGTTTAGGTACAAGCATCAGTATTTCCTCTCATGATTACAGTAGTTTGTGTCTAAACAAAAATAAACATGTCTACTAATGTACAGAGCATATTCCTGACACAATGTCACGACATTCTGAGACGTGACCTTTTTTGACATGCTATAGTACACATATGTCAAAGTCAAGGCCCGCGGGCCAGATCCGGCCTGCGATTGAATTATCTATGGCCTCCTGGATGATAATGAATTACTATTAGAACCGGCCCGCAGGCCACAGTCGCCCGCTGGTGTTTTGCACGCACCAAACACTACATTCCCCACAATGCAACGGTAGCCCGCAAAGTCGCGGGCAGCGCTACAGGAAGCAAGCGGGCAGCGCAGGAGGAAGCAAGCGGCTTCATTATTCATCAGCAGTCAGAGCAGAGGTCAACTTTCAGCTACTCCCCCCTCCTCAAAAATGGCTAAACGGAAGGTGGATGCTGAGAACAGGGGTTTCAAGCCAGGTGGAGGCAGAGTTCATGTTCATGGAGGTAAAAGGCAAACCTGTGTGTCTTCTGTGTGGAGCAGTGACGTATTTTCAGTTTTTAATTCAGTTAAATTTGTTTCAACAAGACGTGATTTTTCTTTGAGGAAAGTATTGTTTTGTCTGTGTGCCATAGATTTTTGTATTTAATGTCATTTTATTTTATTGTATTTTATTTATTTATATTTATTTTTCAGTTGAATGGACTCAGGAAAAATTGCAGAAAAGAGCCATGAGAAAGAATACAACTGATTTCATTTATTTATTTTTTTTCTCATTTTACTCTTTGAAAGCAGTGATTGGTCGGATCATAGAGCAGCACAATAATGCATTTTCAGTTTATAATGCATGCAATTTCATCTATGCATTTATATTGATATTAAGAAACACATTTTGTTTTTAAAGGACATTTACTTTTTTGCTGTTTGCTTGTTGAAAATGTTTTCCCTTGAAGTTTCTGACAGAGCCATAACAAAATATTGCTTTATTCATTTAATGTACAGGACATGTGATTTTTCTTTGAAGGAAGTTCGTTTTTGTCTGTGTGCCTGTTGAAAAATGTTTTC